GTGTGTGTGTGAGAGAGAGAGAACCAAAAAGAGAGCCAGACAGACAAAAACAACACACAGAGACAAACACACACACAGACTAACACACAGACAAATGCACAAACACACACTTGATACACAGACAGCATGTTGTAGAGGTCAGCCAGACGTAGGTTGCGACACTGCGGTCGGCGCTAACGACACTTAGAACTGACAGCTCATCAAGGAACCAACCAGTGACGTCCTCACACGCACACACACAGCCTCACAACGCTCAGGGCGGCTCTGGATCATAGATAATCCTCCCCACGGGCCGACCGGCGCAGATTAGGAAGTCTCTCTCTCCCTCTCTCCCACCTTCTCTTGGCTAGCTTTGTGACTTGCGCAGGAAACGAGAGACGTAGTGTGTGCGTGCAGGATAGAAGGTTGGACGCAACCAAGAGAATTTTTTAAAATGGGAAAAATAAGTAAAAAGAAAAAAAATAAATAAACAGTGTGCGTGTTTAGTTAAAGCTAGACAAATTATTTTTCTTTAAAGTAAGCGAACAAGTTTGGCGCATTTTTGTTAGAACTAGACTTTATTTAAAAAATACATGTCATAAGGATCTACGTGTATATTGTTTTTGCATATCTTTGTAGGTATGTATTCATAAATGTACAACGTTGCCAGAGACTTTACATCAGCGTCTGGGGTGTCGTGAACAAAATTAAACAAACAAATACACGAAGGGGCTAGTGCCGTAAAACTCTTACTACCCCCCTAAAAAAAATTATTTAAAAAAAAAATAATTTTTTACAATTTAAAAATAACCGTTATTGTGTCGATGTGCTTCTGTTTTACTCAAAGAAACTCGCTGGGAAACAGCTATAGCGTGAATTAATCGCCCCTTTGTTTTTGTGAAATAGAAATGTGAAATCGTGTTGTAAAGATAATTACATATAGACCTACGTACTCGTATTAGTTGCAGGTAACAACTTAGCGTGCCTCATTTCCTCCTCCTGTCCTTTAATGTCCCTGGTCGCGCAGTCTTCTGCCTAATAGCTTTTCGTCTTGTAGGATTGAGGAGGCCTGCTGCGTGTTCTGGCTGTTTGTCTATCTATCTCTATGTTTGTTCATATGTCTGTCTGTCTGCCTGTGTGTTTGTGTCTGTCTGTCTGTCTGTCTGTCTGTCTGTCTGTCTGTCTGTCTGTCTGTCTGT